TTATGTTAATGAGGCAGGACTCAATCTACAAGATTAGGTTGTGTCTTAAGTCATTCTCTTTTGAGATATAAAAGGGGAAAGCTAGCAGAGAGACAGGGGAACCTCATACCACTAAGAAACGAGAGCCTGGAGAGTAGCACGTCCTTTGGACCCAGGGCCCCTGTGCTGAGAATTTCCTTGAACCAGGGAAGATTGATGACAAGGACCTTCCCCTAGAGCCGACAGAGAGAGAAAGCCTTCCCTTGAAGTTAGTATCTTGAATTCAGATTTCTAGCCTCCTAGACTGTGAGAGAATAAATTTCTCTTCGTTAAAGTCATCCACTTGTGATATTTCTGTTATAGCAGCACTAGATGACTAGGACAAGGCTAAGGGTAATCTGGGGCCAGATCATTAAAGGCTTTAAAAGCGACTGTAAGGATTTTGTCATTAATACTGAGGGCATGGGATACATTGATCATTTAAGTCCAGGGAAAGGCTTCATCAGGTACATGCACTAGGAAGCTCACTCTGCTGTCACTGTGGAAAATGGTAGGGTCACTATGAGTTGAAATCAACTCGATGGCAATGGGTTTGTTTTTCTTTGTTTTGTTTTGTTTTTGGTTTATACCAGACAGAAGGCAGGGAGATGAAGTAGGGAGCTGTTTATATAAACCAGACGAGAGATGCTGGCTATGGGAGCTAAGGCAGCAGTAGCGGGAAGGGAGAGGGTGGAACAGCGTTCAGAACTATGGAGAAGGATTTGGACTCGGGGAGAGTGAAAGCTTTCAGGTTTGGGGCACTGGAAGTTCAGTCTTAAGTAAGGAAAGAAGATACATTCAATTTAGGATTTGTCGAATTTGAGGTAGGTCCCTCGGTGGCACAAACAGTTTGTGCTCAGCTAGTGAAAGGTTGATGGTTTGAACCCACCCAGCAGTGCAGAAGAAAAGCCTGGGGATCTACTTCTGTAAAGATTACAGCCAAGAAAACCCTGTGGAGCTCAGCTGTACTATGTGACACATGGGGTCACCATAAGTCGGAATCAACTCAATGGCAACGGGTTTGATTTTTGAGTTTGAGATAAATGTGGGATAATCAGAAATACCTAGGGAATCGCTGGGTTAACACTTCGAAAAACAGTTTTAAAAAGTGGCTTAGGGATCTGGATTTGGAAGCCGTATAGGTGGTAAGCGACGTCTTCAAAGTAGAGCAGTGATTCTCCACCAGGAGCAATTTTGCCCCCCAGGAGACATTTGGCAAGATCTGGAGACATTTTTGATTGTCACGCCTGGGGGAGGGGATGCTATTAGCATCTAGTAGGCAGAGGCCAGGGATGGTGCTAAACTTCCTACAATGCCTATAATCCACAGGACAGGGTCTCCTCCCCCAACACACACACACACACACACACACACACACACACACGAAATAATTATCAGTCCCAAATGTCAATAGTGCCAATGTTGGGTTGAAAAGCCTGGAGTAACAGGAAGTGTGGAGAGCGATAAGAGGGCTGAGGATGGAGCCTTAGAGAAATAGGTGGACGAGAAATAGATGCTTGAGAAGACTGAAAAGGAGAGGACAGACAAGTTATTAAACACTGGAACTCCCTCAGTTACATAAGCTTTTGGCAATTAAATATAATGGATTGAGTGCTAAAGCAGAGCATTCTAGAATCATAGCCTCTCTGGAGTGCATGAAGAGGTAGACCAGTTGACAGAGTTTTCTGATGAATCCCAACTTGCTGCTCCCCTCTGTGGGAACACTGGAGATAGACTATCAGTGGTTCTAATGGGGTATGCAAAGAGCTTTACAAAGGTAGGCTCTTTAAAGGGCATGCAATCAGGACATCAGGAAGCACATGCAATGTTTTGACTTGGCACCTGCACAGCTAAACAAATGCAGCAGGTTCAAACCGGCTGCAGAACTCTGAGCCCTCTCCAAGGCTGCCCTCAACAAGTTCCTAAGAAAAGGGTGGACAGTTCAGCTCTTTCCCAAAGCAGTATTTTTTTTCCCCTTGTTAGAACTCAGGCTAAAAATATGTTTCACTAAGCTAGGGGTTTACACTCATTGGATTTTTCTACTGAAAATGGCTTGAGATGTCATCTAGGCTACCCTCTTGTTTGACATTTCACTAGCCTGATTTGGCATCTTTGGAGCTTCTTGTTAGTTGTCGTCGAGTCAATTTCAACTCATGGCAACCTCATGTGAGCACAGTAGAACTGCTCCACAGAGTTTTCAAGGCTGTGACCTTTTGGAAGCAGATTGCCAGGCCTGTCTTCCAAGGCGCCTCTGAGTGGGTTCTCAAACAGCCAACCTTTTGGCTAGTAATCAAGCGCTTAACCATTTGCACCACCCAGCGACTCCTGATCTTTCCTATAGAAAACTGGACCACCT